ATTTATTTTTTAGTTCTCGGCGGACACAACATCTTTGTTGGTATGTGGTGCTGAGGATCGAACCCGGGCTGCATGCATGCCAGGCGAGTGCGCTACCGCTTGAGCCACATCCCCAGCCCTCAACTACTTCTAAAAAATAAATATTAAAGAAAAACACACGGATGGGGCTGAGGTTGTGGCTCAATGGTGGAGCGCTTGCCTAGCATGACTGAGGCACTGGGTTCGATCCTCAGCACCATATAAAAATAAAAAGTAAAAATATTTAAAAAATACTCTCCACATGGATGACATCACTAGGGACTTTCTCATGCTGCTTAAGAACATCTTGGCCTTGGTATCACTTAAGCAAGAACCTTAATTAACCCACGTCTCTGTGCCCAGGGAGAAAGTACAGTCCCAGTCTCAGGTGGGAAGGAGAGACACATAATGCCAATGCAGCAGAGCCTGAGGGGATTTGATAAAGTACATTCCAGATTCTGAAAGAAGTCTTACCTGGTGTGGTGGCACATGCCTGGAATCCCAGAGACTCACACATGCAAGGCCAACCTGGGCAATTTAGCGAGACTCTGTCTCAAGATAAAAAATAAAAAGGAGGCTGAGGCAGAGGGATCGGGAGTCCAAAGCCAGCCTCAGCAACAGCGAGGGGCTAAGCAACTCAGTGAGACCCTGTCTCTAAACAAAACACAAAATAGGGCTGGGGATGGGGCTCCGTGGTTGAGTGTCCCTGATTAAATAAATAGATAGGTTAATTAATTAATTAATTAATTAATTAAAATTTTAAAAAAAAAGGACTGGGGAGGTAGCTCAGTGATAAAGCACCCTTGGGTTCAATCCTGAGGACCCTCCCAAAAGAAGTCTTAGAAAATGAGGTGAAAGTTCGTATTTCCTTAATGCTGTAAAGCTCTTCCCTCTTGCACTAACGGGAGGCTGTGCATTACAGAGCAGTTCCACAGCAGCCAGGGCAATGGCTTTCCAGCCGGAGGCACCTGGCTTTGCATTCTGGCTCTGTCCCTGGGGCTACCTAAAATCTCCGTGTCTGCTTCCTCATCTGCATAAGAGTGGACAGGGAAGTAGTTTGTATTACTATTGTTCTAGCACTTGTGGCCTATGTGAGAAGATAAGAAAAAAGCAAACAGGAGACGTGATGATTGGAAAGGAAGTGAAATGACAATTACTCTTGTCTGCCAAAAAACCTCAAGAGAACAACTGGAAGAAATAACACGAGCTGGGTGTGGTGGCGCAAGCCTATAATTCCAGCGACTTGGGAGGTTGAGGCAGGAGGATTGTAAGCTTGAGGCCAGCCTCAGCAATTTAGTAAGGCCCTAGGCAAATATAAAAATAAAAATGGCTGGGGATGTGGCTCAGTGGTAAAATGCCTCTGGGCTCAATCCTCAGCACCAATAAATAAATAAATAAGAGAAATACTCTGAGAAGTCCATGAGACAGGACATACATTCCACATATACAAAACCTACACACTGGGCTGGGGCTAGGGCTCAGCAGTAGAGCGCTCACCTGGCGTGGCCCGGGTTCCATCCACAGCACCACATAAAAATAAAGGTATTGTGTTGTGTCCATCTACACCTAAAAAATAAATATTTAAAAAAAGATTAAAAAAAAACCTTCATACTACTAACAACCCATTAAAATATAATGAGTTGTTAAATAACCCAATGAATAAATGGGCTAAGGAAGTGAACAGACACTTCACAGAAGAATACAGTCAATCAACAAATACATGAAAACCACCATGTGACCCAGCTAACCCTCTCCTCCATATACACAAAGGACTTAAAAACAGCATCCTACAGGGTCACAGCCACAACAATGTTTATAGCAGCACAATTCACAATAGCTAAACTGTGGAACCAACCTAGATGCCCTTCAGTGGGTGAACAGATAGGGAAACTTTGGTATATATATATATAACAATGGAACGTTACTCAGCATCAAAAGAAAATAAATTCATGGCATTTGCAGGTAAATGGATGGAGTTGGAGAATATCATGCTAAGTGAAGTTAGCCCATCCCAAAAAACCAAAGACCTAATGTTTTCTTTGATATAAGACCCAGGTGCATAATAGCGATTGGGAGGGATCATGGGAGGAATGGAGAAACTTTAGATAGGGCAAGGGGAAGGAGGGGAAAGGAGGGGGCATGGGGTAGGGATGATGGTGGAATGAGTTAGACATCACTACCCTAAGGACATGTATAAGACACATGTATAAGACACTTTGTGTACCATCAGTGACTGGAAAACCTGTGCTCTATGCGTGTAATATGAAGTGAATTGCATTCTG